TAGAAAAACACATTTATAGCAGTTACAAGTAACTAGGACTCTTGGGCAGCATGTATTTATTTACTATTTATCTATCTATCTGCCTCTCTCTCTTTCTGTTTTATACTATCTTAAAATATTTTATATTATTAAGTATAATTAAGCTAAGTAGTTTTAAATAGGTGTTAGACAACATAAATGTAATAATGAAAATTATAAAGATCTTATTTACACAATATACTGAAGTGTGGTCAGTCTTACTAATCAAATGTTTTACTATATTAATAATGATTGTTTTACTTTTTATTTGCCATGAAGCATAAGATTTCCATAATAATTAAATACATGCTATTTTTACAGGCAACATTTAATGGATGGATCACTATTATGAATTCAGCTGTTGATTCTATTGGCGTAAGTACAATATAATCTTAGAGCCATTGTTAAAGTTCAAGTGAAGTCATTTTTGTAATTCAAGGACAGGGTACTAGCAATAATTGAATAATTAACAGTGTAAAAGCAAATGCTTATGCTTGACAGAAATTAAATACACTTCAGATTGAGTATTGCAGGGACAATGAAATCCTTCCAGGATTACAGACAAAGGTTGAGGCCCAATAGGCCCATTAAAGAATGATCAGACTTTGTAACGATGATTAAACCAATACAATCAGCTTTAAAATCCAACAAACAAAGCAATGATATCCCTTTACCGAAGAGCAAAAGAAGAAACTTTGCCTCAAGTAACATTGTTGGATTTTATTGTCATAAATTTTTATAAAAGCCAGTATCATTATTTTTAAAATTTTTTTCACTTTTTTATTTGTTTTCATTTTTAAAGACTTTATTTCAGGGAGTAGTTTTAGGTTGACAACACAATTGAGAGAGAGGTACACATATTTCCCACATACCCCTCCTTGCCCACATGTGCATAGCCTCCCCCTTATTAACATCACTCACCAGAATTGTGCATTTTTTTTCCAAAAATGAATCTACACTGACACATCATAATCATTCAAAGTTCATAGTTTATCTTAGAGTTCGCTCAGTGTAATACATTCTATGAGTTTGGACAAATGTGTGATGTCATATACCTATCGTCATAACATTACACAGAGTATTTTCACTGCCCTAAAAATCCTCTGTGCTTTGACTTATTTTCCTTACTTCTTAACTTTTAGGTGAATATGCAGCCTAATTTTGAAGACAACATCTACATGTATTGTTATTTTATTGGCTTTATTATCTTTGGATTATTTCTTCCTCTGACGATGCTGACTGGTGTTATTATTGCTAATTTCCAAAAGCTTAAAATAAAGGTAAGTATAAATATTCTCTGTTCATCAATACCTGAAAAAATAAAAAAATATTTATTAAAATGTCCTGCTTTAAATAATGGTTTTAGATTCAGCTTAATGTCATTTTTATTTGGTACCTACTTAAAAAATGATTGGTGTTCCTGCATATTGATGAATATTGGTAAAATGTTCATCTGTACATTGTTTTCTATATTCAAATGTATACAGACAAGTTTAAAAGTTAAATATTACAAGTATTTCTAGATATATGTTTGTAAATAATGACATGCTGAAAAATAATAATATTGTTTTTCATCTGCACAAATATGTAAAGCTTAAGAAAAATAAGCCATACTGTTTTAGTCTCTGAAATATTCAAAGCCTTGAAAGTCATAAGCAGCATAGGCATTCTGTCAGTTGGAGTAGCTTTTTATGCTTGAAGTAGAAAGTCATCATTCCTAATGACCAAATATACATTTGATTGGATGCTTCAGTTTCCTAGGAACTTCAGCCTAATGGGATAATATCCTAGGATTGGCTTCTGGGCTTCCAGTTGGTGACCCCTGACAATTTTAAGTGATCAAGTCCTGATTTAGGGCAGTAACAATTCCTAATTCCCAGATTAACACAGTAAATGTTCTCCTCTTATTTACTTTATATACTGTGTGTAAGATACTGAAATGAAAACTAGAAATACCAAGATGAATAAGCTCTAGAAGGCCTAGAAGGAATAAGCACAAGGTGCTTTTGGAATAATAGTAAAAAAATATCTTCCGATAGTATTTGAAAAATTAATACGTGAACATTTAACAATACATATATGACCAGTTCTATTATCTCATGCTTATTAAAAGGTATAAACCAACTTTACCTTTAGCTTTTGAGTTCGGCCTTTCTTAGGAAACCTTTTCAGATATCCCCTGCTGTTTTTCCATTGTCTTTAATAAGAGGCAGACCTCAGTAGGCTGAAAAGTTAAAATAGGGTCGACAACCCGCAAGAAAGTGCACCAAAGGGTAACTCAATATCACTCA